CCGAAGGCCTCAACCAGAGAGCAGCTGGTCAGGTTCGGTCTGCACCGTGTGCTGGTTGTGGTTATACCAGTTTGAACTGTGCCACCATTGGTCAGTCCAGGGACAAAACTAGTCCACGCTTTTACACAAACTGGACGGAGTTTACACCGATCAGTCTGGACTAGACACAGTTTCAAGCAAGGTCAGATCCCACATTGAGCTCAATGGAATAAAAACAGGCTCGCAAAAAATTGAAAATTTAAAAAGCCACAGCAAAGTTCTCAGACGTGTTTTGGAGCAGTCCCTCCACGAAGAGGTTCTGGTCATTTGGACGTTGTTCTGGTTGTCTAATGTAACTGGAGATGATGTCACTCCGAGCATGGTCTTCATGTTCTCTATACTACAAATATCAATAAATAAGAATAGCATTTATAGAGGGAAAAGCCGGTTGAAGAACAAGAACATGAAGAACAAGAACAAGAAAAATAAGAACAAGAACAACAAAAATAAGAACAAGAACAACAAAAATGAAAAACAAAAACATCAAGAAGAACAAGAAAAAAGAACAAGAACAACAATTAAAATTTTTTTTTTAACAAAACTTTATTTACACAATAAGTTAACACAACAGTGTTAAAAAGGAGATCAGGACAGGCTTAAAATAAAATATTTACATGAGGAGCTTGTTGTATTGTGGTTCTAAGAAGAACAAGAAGAAAAAGAAGAAGATGAAAAAGAACAAGAACAGTATTTATAACTCGGTGGCACGGTGGTGAAGTTGGTAGAGCTGTTGCCGCTCAGTGAGAAGGTCACAGGATTGAATCCCAGCCGGGACCCTGGGTGGAGTTTGCATGTTCTCTCTGTGCTGTGTGGGTTTTCTCCAGGTGCTCCAGTTTCTTCCCACAGAACAAAAACATGCATGTTAGGCTGACTGGTAACTCTAAAATGTCCCTAGGTGTGAGAGAGAGTATGAATGATTGTTTGTCTCATTTGTCTCCATGTGTCCATGTGACAGACTGGAGACCTGTCCAGGGTGTCCCTGTGACAGACTGGAGACCTGTCCAGGGTGTCCCTGTGATAGACTGGAGACATGTCCAAGGTGTCCCTGTGACAGACTGGAGACCTGTCCAGGTGTCACTGTGATGGACTGGAGACCTGTCCAGGGTGTCCCTGTGACGGACTGGAGACCTGTCCAAGGTGTCCCTGTGACGGACTGGAGACCTGTCCAGGTGTCCCTGTGACAGA